TCAATTTTCAAATAATAAGACTTTATTATGGGCGCGGAAAATTCTATGAATATGGAGAAAAATGTTCCCAATAAGATTCCCACGTTTTCTCTTCGATAAATGCGCGGAAGCCAGTTTGATTAAATTCACGTTGATACGAATTTGCCACAGTCAGGTTTCAGCGGCAACGAGCGCTCCTCACGTTCGATTCTGCGGCACTATGCCGCTGTAACGAGTGGTACACGTCGTATTATGCGGAATAAATCAGCGCCGATGCGGGATTATGTAAGACATTAATCTTTTCGAACGCGGCGCGCTGACGAGACGCGCGATTTTTCACCCTCTTATTGATCTCCCGACAAGAGCAATGACTTTGGACGTTTCACGGGTCTGGACGGTTACATGTTCGTCATGAAAAATTCATGAGACGCCATGTAACATATACGTAATACGTTTGCGGTATATAAGGCAGGGTTTGCAGTAATCTTCTATCCATATCGACTTAGTGTCACATAAATCATAACTGTTGCACTTGTAAAAACGAAAGTCTTGTTAAATTATTTATTCAAGTGAATTCCGCAGTATCGAATACCACGTATTCTTCCAAAAAAAATACAATTTATTCACGGTAATAAACGAAAAAAAAAGGAAATTTTGGAAGTTGCTATTCATAAGTGCTACAAAGAGGATTTTTATTTATTACAGTTTTTAATGGACTTTCGAGGGCGCAAAGGTCGAGAGAGAAAGAGAGATTGAGGGAATTAATTCTTCCGGCAGAGTTGGCGCTACGCCGTGAAGTTAAATATTCTTCATTATGCACGCGTTGTAAATTCTTGCAAATTGCTCTGCAATAATTAATAAGTGCCCGGCCTTTGTTAGAGGGTTATACGTAATTATCTGTTATATATTTGTATTTTTAATTGCCTTTATATAAAAAATATATATTAATCAGCACAAGTAATATTATATCACTCGTAAAGAATTACATCGGTAAATGAGCCTTTGATGAGCCTTTTGTGAAAGATCACTGGCGCGATCACTAAGGCTTTCATCGGAAATAATCTTCTGGCTCCTCAGAAAGACCGTGGCATGTCGGGTTCTCTTTAACACAGCTGTGCAAAGTTCAATTCATTTAGAAGCGCATATCTAAGAATAAATATTTTCTGAATAGTAGAATTCCTATATGAAATAGCATCTGTTATATTTTTTGTTTATTTTTATTTTACACTGAAAAAAAAAACGATTAATTTAACAAAAATTATAGTTATTTTTGGTCTCAACCACATATTTTTATTGTTCTAAGACACGAATATGATAGTAATAACATGCGTATAAAGTTATTATCACTAACATTAAAATAGAATTGAATAAAAAGAAATGGTTTTTTTAACTATAATTTATAGTAGTTGTTTGTTTTTGTCTATGTAATTATAGACAATTATAGTTACAAATATCAGACATTTTTTGTCAGTGTACTTTTTTCACAACATAATACTGCCATACTTCTTGTTTATTTTTATTTTATACAGAGAGAAAAAAATTGTTAATCTAACTAAAATTATAGTTATTTTTAGTCTCAATCATATTTTTTTATTGTTCTAAAACACGAACGACGATGGTAGTAACATGCGTATAAAATTATTGTCAGTAACATTATAATAGAACTTAATAAAAAGAAGAACGATTTTCTTGACTATAATTTATAGTAATTGTTCCTCTCTAATTATAGGTGATTATAGTTGTCTATCTATTGTCAAACTATAATTATAACTCTAATTATAGGTATAATTATAGTTACAAATATCAGATATTTTTTTCGGCATACAACACAAACAGACGTACGCGCGCGCGTGCACGCGCTAACATTACTCCAGCTAATATATGCTAATACTGAGTCTAACAAGCAAAATATTAATTAACGTAGCTTTTGTTCATGATTGCATTGTGGTCTTTACGCGATTGAAGAAGCGTAAAATTTTAATTGGGAAAAATCGTATTCAGCAAACTGGCCGGCTTTGTCGTAAACCTCCCCGATAATGACAGCTTACAAATGAACGATTTATTCGTAAAATTGATATTCTCTAAGTTAAGCCGGCGAAATGTTGTGACGTTAAGCCGCATGAGCTTGCGCGACTCTTGTTTTGTACGACGAGCAAATTAGCAGGTGATCAACGATTATGGTGCGAATGAATGGATGAATAGGCGCAAATCAATTGCCACACATATAACGGTAAAGTAATAAGCGCTTAATTAATTAACTTGTTCGGTCTACATTTAATTTCGCATAGCTTGTTTGAAACTGAAATTGGACCGATCTCTCCTGAAGCTGTTAAAATTTTTTTCTTTTTTCAAACAATTTTTTTTTCTTCGTACAATGCGAAGAATTTTAAAAAGTGACGTATAGTCTTTGTAGACGTTTTGACTGTTATTGTTTATTTTTAGAACGATAAGCGGTAATATAAAATATATAAGCGGTCTAAAAATATATAGCAATATATAAAGACATGTTTAATGATAGCTAGGAAAATGTTCGTGCACGTATATATTAGGTCAAAGTAATTACAAAATTCCTCTACCATTTTATAAACAATCAAATAACACATAAAATTATGAGTTATTAAGTAAAGAAAATTGGCGAATAAATTCGCGCAAACATATTCGCTAACATTCTTTAATTAATAGACGTAATTTTTTTACGCTCTTTTAACTCTGAAAATGGACTATTGTTTTCCGTCAATGTAAACCGGATTTATAAGTCTATTATGTCCGCGGCTTATCAGATAACGTTGATATTCTCAAAAAATTCTTTAAAAAAAGCAGAGGAGTTAATTTGACTTTGAGGTGTTAATTAAATGCCCAAATCATCGAATTAGATAACAGTTTATTTCAAACATTTGTTTTTTATTGTTTTTTTTTAGAAAAAATCATCTGCAGAAATTTGATTTATGAAACAAATATGTCAAAAGTTTTATTTATATAATATGTATAATTGAATATAATTGAAGAAAAAATTATGGAATAATTGTCACTCAACGAAAAGATGATTATTAAAGTGTATGAAAACAGGATATATTATAAGAGAAATAAAGACAGATTAAAATTAGAAAAAATACTATAAGAAAAATAAAGACAGATTATAAGAGAAATAAAGATATAAGATATATTATAAGAGAAATAAAGACAGATTAAAATTAGAAAAAATAATTCGCATATTTTTTTGTATTTTTATGAAATATATCATAAAATATAAACACTTATAAGCATTCTAAATACAAGAAAAAAATATTTCATATCTACGCAAACACGCAAAAAAAATTTATGAAAATGACAGCTTTAGTTACTCAAACTTTCAAAATGTGTTAAAAAATATAGGTCATCAGAACTAAAAAATTCTGTTCAAAAATCCTTCAACCAAAATATTGATTTATTTATTTAAATCAAACCTAACATTAAATATTGCTAATTTTTTCCTCCGTGTATAAAGTGCTCATTTCTCGGAATATTTTCGTTTAAAAATCATTAAAAATAAAATACTTAGCAATTTATTTTTCACTAAAAAACTACGTGTCTTCAACTAGAATGGTAAAGGAAGTTTCGATAATTTTTGAACATTTTTTTGAGCACTCTAAAAGGAGGAAAATTGACGAAAACATTAATGACATTGGTTGCCTCTCCAAATATAGCAGAAATACTTTGTTAGCTGGAATTTTGATAATTCAAAAATGTAGTACGTGATTATTTGCAAAATGATACAGATGTAGTTTGTTCAGTTTTAATGCGTAAACACATGGATATCATACTTACCGTCACATCCTGCACGCATTGTGCACGGTCATTCATTAATCTCTTTTTTAATTAATTACTAACTCAGAATATGTAGTTATTATTAACAACGTTATTTACAAAATAGTAGAGGAATTTTATGTTTAGTTTGACCTAGTTTATGTATACATGAGCGTTTTCTCACTTATCATCAGACTTTATATACATCACCTATCATACTCTGTATACATCATAAAATTCCCGAATCGAAATTTTGATCCTATTTTCAGCCTTACTGTTCCATTCAACATCTATTATAATACTCTGAAATCTACATATAAATTTCTTTTGATTCTATTTAACCTACCCGAGTTGAAATTTTTATCCTACAGCTTCATTGTTCCACTCAACACCTATATTGAAGCTAAAGAAAGTAAAAAGAGAAATTTCGAACATCATCAAAGTCAAAGTAGACGTAAATTGTATCACTAGCATTAAATCTACTTTGCTAACTTAATTTTCACACAATACAACGTCTAAAATCGGGACATAAGACGTCTTAAAAACGTCTTAAAGTCATCTTAGGGACATCTTACGTTCCGATGTCTGAGAGACGTCTTTAAGATGTCTTTCAGGCGTCTTATGTCCCGATTTTAAATAGTTGTGTCCCGACGTTGTGTTGTGTGGGTTCCTACTGCGTTGTAGAATTCAAGGTTTAACAAAAGAACAAAATTTCGACTCAGATTGTTATCAAGATTATTTCGAAAAAAAAAATAAATTATTGAAGTGCGCAGCGCACACAAGAGCGGGAGCCGGGTGCCATTATTACTCTCCCTTTTTCCCACATTTTCTTCTTAACGAGCGCTGCGCCAGTTTCGCCTTCACATTTTCTCTAGGCTCACTAATAGCTACGATTATGCGGCCCTCTTTCTGTTTCTCGGCATACACGCGTTTATGCATTAGCCCTGTAGGGTAGTAATGTATATGTAGTTAGTTGCAAATGGAATATTCGTGCATGTAATGTAATCTCTAATGAAGAGCCACGTCGTGGCTGGAATTTTATAACCCAGAATATGTGGCGTATATATGTACGCGTGTGTATTACTAGGCCGAGTATTAAAGGTACTATTCGAGCTGATTCTGACAATGAACACTGGTCGGGGGTAGAACTGAAAAAAATTCTGTACAGGCAATGAATGCCACACATGCGAGCTGCTCAATTTACATAAATAGATGAAATTATATCTTGTGTGTTTCAGCGTCATACTGTGATGAAGAAAAATGTCGCGTGCCGATACTACGCATGTTTACTACATGCGTGCGAAAGCATTAACACGAAGCTAGTCGATATCCCCCGAGAGATATTCCTTCTTCGTGATATAACGTCGAGAATTATTAATTATTACCATGACATGACAAATTTGAAAAGCTTACCTTGCGAAGGGAGGAGATCTTCGTATTTGAAATGCGCATCCGTTCTTGTTCTCGTCGCAGTTGTTGTGAAACTGACGGTAACTCAACCGCAATTTAATTGCCGTCTTCTGCTTGATTCGTATAACCGAGCGAGTCTTGCCACGGAAGTAATGATGGAAGAGAGTGCGACGGGGAAAGTCAGGGGGAGGACCTGAGTGCGGCCAACAGAAGGAAAAGTGCTTAACTTTAGTTCGGAACTTGTGAGAAGGGTCATCCCGCGGGAAATCAATGTCTGACGGTTCAAAGAAGGTCGAAGAAGAGGACTGGACGATGTGATCGCGTGTATACGCGAGTTGGTTTATGTGTGATGGTTAATTTGATAACCAACTCTCGTGCGGAACGCCAGGTTATCTTTCATCTATATTCCGTATCTCTTTCGATTACTTCGCGACGACTTTTTTCCGGTCGCTTTGCAGATTAAACTGCAAGGCGAGGGGGACTGGGGGAACGGGTGCGGGTACGGTTAAAGAAACACTCCCAAGTAATTAAATAGGAGATCTGCATTTTACAAAGCAATAAGTTACACGAGAGTCCTTACACGAAACCAAAGCCCCCAATTCGAGTCGTGGCACGCGTTTCTCGTTCTCCTGTCATGTGCTTTCCTCTTCCCCCTTCTTTTCATACAAATGTGAAACGTAATTAAGCCGAAGGCAGTGAATTGCAAGGACAAGAGAAGCGCGATGTATTCCTTCCTACGTAGAAGATATCCAGTCACGGAGTTACTGTTTTGTGAGAAAATATATGCACGTATTCAAGTTGTTGAACAAAAGTACAGATGTGTCGCGCGCAAAACGAAGCGCCATTAATGTCGACGTTGAAATATATATACAATTTTGAAATTATCTTTTCTGCAACTCATTCTCGTTCCACTTTACTGCTGAAGAAATCATTTTGTTTATTCTCCTTAATGTGCATTTCGTGATCGTTATCGGACGCATTCCAACTTCTGTTCAGCAGCCATACGCGCAGTTCCCATTAATATTTGCGCTCGTATGAAATGGCTCGAATTTTTCTGGAAGACTGGAGAAGGACGACGTCGTTGTCACCGATAGTTAAAAAGAAAAAAAAAAAGAAGAAAAATGGACAAGATATCATCGGACGCGCGATCAAGTGCGGCACGCAAATTCGCCACGACATCGAGATTTTCTGGGAATTATACATAGTTAGCACCTACAAAAGTTTATCATCGCTGACCTTTGCGCAGAGAGGGGTCATGGTCGATTAGCTTAGTGGTCTCTTAGCTTAACCCGCAGTCCGAACTTTACATTGTAAATTTGATTGCGTTCGACTAGCCTCCGCGCTAGAGGCAGTTTGATTCCCCTTCGCATCGATTTAATTCTCTACAGCGATAAAAGGAGACCGCACGCCTCCTTTAGGTAGCATCGTTCGATTAGCACAAAATGTAAAATCTATTGTGATCTTCTAACCACCGTAACGATAACGGGCTAACATCGCCCTTGTTTTCGCCAGTCTTTCGTCTCTCCGGACTGTGATCGTCACTTTCGCTCAAACATCGATCGGCTCGATATAGTGTTTACATTCTGTCCGACGCCTCGTTGCGTGGGAGTCCGTCTACGACCTGCCTCATCGATTCTGGTTCAGTCGCATCCTCATCGTGTTGATCGGACTCGAGGTCCGATGAGGGCTCGGATCAATCACTATTAAAAGAGAAAAATTTCACTTGTGACCGAATCGGATATGTGACTGAATGTGACGGAAATGATAAATCTTTAGGATCACCAGGCTGTGAGAGATTCTCGGGAGTTCGGGAGATTTTCTCTAGAGTAACGTAGCAACTTGTTATTGGATATCGTATTGTCTATGCATGCGCAGAAGACCTCCTATCGCGGGAAAATCTCCCGAACTCGCAGCACTGTTACCAAGCTGATATGAGATATTAAGATATTTTTCACATTTGTATATAAGTGTAGAAATGATAGAATCATTTTATGTTGATTATGTTATGTTTTTACCTATCACTGTTCTCGCTGGTGGCTTCCTCGCTGCAATCCAAATCGAGTTCTCCCTGAATCGCGCTCTGCAAATCATCAATCCTTTGCAATGCCAGCCTAAGATCGTCCCTAGCCACCTTGGTTTCGGCTTCCGCGGCCTCCAAGGATTTCTCTATGTCACGACGAGCACGTAGAGCTTCTTGCTCGCGCGAAATTGCCGCACTAGCTTCGTCGCGCGCGTCGCGCAAGGATCGTTGCAATCGTCTTGCCGCGTCTTGGGCGGTCTGCTCTTTCGTTCTGAGTAAGGCCGACTCAGTTTGCAACTTGTCAACGCTCTCTTTCAACCGTGCTATTTGTGTCTGCGAAAATGGAGACGAGGTGATTATTTGAGTTTTGCTAAATGTAGTTACATCTTTATTTAAGATTTATACTTGTTCACTTGGATTGGATACGACAAACTACATGTTTTAAGTGAAATTGTTTTTCTCCAACAATACCTCTAGGCGCGCTCTCGTAGTTTGTTCCAATTCGAGTTTGCTTTCGAGTTCCTTGGCTCGGAACTCCAAGCGTCTCGTGGCAAGGCTGTTCGCTGTAGGATCGCCGAGTTGCTCTACTGACTCCAATCGCTGCGTTAGTTCCGCCAGTTGGTCCTTTAGTGATGACTTCTCCGCTTCGAGCGCGGCAATTTGCACCTGCGCCTCTTGTAATTGGCCTTGCTCCGCGGAAACTTGTTGCACTGCGGCTCGATATTTCTTCAAGACCTTTAGTCGTAACAAAACAATCCATACGCTCATATAACTTTCACTTGGAAGGATATGTCGCGGTCAATTTAAGACGTTACAAAGGCTATTGTACACTTTAGATTTTCGAAATCGTCAAGATTGAACGTTAAGTCTTGATGTTGATTAAAGTTGTTAATCATGCGCGATAATGCATCAATCTTTTTCAATTAATAACTAGGAATCCACATGATCATTTTTAAAATTGTAGAAGACTTTTTTATTAAGTTCGACTTAATGTGCAAACATACGGTGACAAACGTCGTCTTCATAGCTCATTTATACTATTGCAGTCATTCACCAATTTTCTTTAATAATTTTTTAATAATTTCTTTAATAACTTAATAACTCAAAATTTTACGAAATGGTAGAGAAATTTTTTGTCCAGTTTGATGAGCTTTACTTGCACACAACGGATATTTCAATAATAGTTAGACATTTTTTGTCTAGGCGTGTGCGTATGTCACATATTATATAATAAATATATATTATATAATATATACATGTATATTATATAATAAATATATATTATACAATATATATCGTTTATTATAATAATATATATAATAATATATTATTATATTTATATTATATAATAATATGTTTATTATATAATAATATGTAAATAAAAGTAGCAATAAAATAACGTACTTCAGCAAGTTCCTCCTCGTTTTCCTCTAATTGGGACAACAGTTCCGTACGTTCACGGTTAGCTGCATTAGCACGCTCCTCCGCCTCGGAACGATGTCGCATAGCTTCTTCTAGAGTCGCTTGTGTCTCATTTAATTCTTGCTCTAACGCCTGTTTTGCTTTTATTGCCGCTGCACGAGCGCATTCCGCGTCTTCCAATTGATTTTTCAATTGACGCAACGCAGCTTTGCCCGTCGAATCGCCCTTGGATCGTTCGAGCATCGTTTGCGCGTCCCTGAGTAGTGCCCTTGTTCTCTTCAAGTCTCTCTTCAACCTGTTTGATTACATGCACGTAATAGAAATTGTAATTAGTATCTTGGCGTTATTACTGTTTTATGTCATATATTAGAGACATGTGTCTAAGATTTTTAATGAAATAATTTTGGAGAAGAACAATTAGAAAATTTGAAAGTTAATGCACCTCTGCATGGTTTCAGCTTCGGCCGCGCGATCGGCTCGATCTTGTTCTTCTATGGCCACCAAACGACGTTCCAGTTCGTGTTTTTCTCTAAGAAGAATCGTTCTCTCCTCGTGTTCATTCTCTAACTGCGACTCAAGAGCTTTAACCTTCTTGTGAGCATTTCCGCGAACGTCCTCCAACTCTTCGTCGCGTTGCTGCATCTCTTTGCGCATCTCCTTACGTTGTTGTTCGATACTCATTTCCAATCTGAGCTTAGCCTGCTCGAGCAGCTGCACTTGGCCCGCAAGATCGTCCAACTCCTCCTCTTGATCTTTCGCGCGTTTCTCCAGTTCGTGTTTTGCCTTCTTCAGCTGCGCGACTTCCTCCTCGGTTTTGCCGCCGAAAGTAAGCTCCTCTAATTCTTGGGTTAATGTGCGAAGTCTCTCTTCCTTCAGCTCGATTTCTAATCGTGCATCCTGCCGTTCAAAAAACAACAAGCATTAATTTCGCATTCAGATTCCTTCAAGAAAATCTCAGGAAAACTAGAACAATAGCTAAGAGCAAGAGAAAAAATGTACTCACGCTCAGATTCTGCTCCACTGTGAATTTTTCCGCGATCGCAATCTCTTTTTCTCTCGCTAATCTTTCACGCTGCGCTTTCTCTTGTCTAAGGTCATTCATTAGATTCTGAGTCTCCGAGTCGAACCTGAGTGCAATTATTGAAGAAACGACATTACTATTACTTTTTCTCCGCTATATATATATGTTTATATATATATATATATATACAGGGTGTTCGGAAAGTACCGGGACGCCCGAATATCAGGAAAAATATAAGTTTTACAAAAAAATGTTTCAGACAAAAGTTGTGGCGTTTAAAAAGATGTATTTACTGATCACATCAGTTTGACCTTGGGTTGCGTAGCGAAGGTCAGGTCAAGGTCACATTAATTTTTTTAAATG